TGCCTGCTCGTTCGGAAAGCGATATCAAGGCGGACACGCTTACGGTAGCGCGGCGTAGAACGCAAGCAGGACATAAAGCTCGGAATTATTTTAATGTTTGTGCCATGATCGATGTATCGCAACGAAAACAGCACAAAAAAAATTAAAGCAACCCACACAACTCAAAGTACGTCCGCCTGCCTGTTTTAAAATATTTCCCGTGTAGCGACAATAAACTACGCAGCCAAAAAAAAAAGTTACGCGTAAAGATTTATGAAGCACGAAGAGCAAGGCACCGAATCGGATAACGCGAAAAAACAATGAAAAAAAAACAAAAAATAAAGAGAATGCAACGCGCGCGAAAAGGGTACTTCAGAACATTTCTAATCCAAACGCGAGAAACAGGTCCTAAACCGGAAACGACCACGCATATGAGGTTGAGTATATGCACGACTTCTCTATTTATCCGAGTGGGAGATGTCCGCCATTGGAAGGAAATTAAGACGACGACGACGACAACGCCGTCAAAGTTGACAGGAAGAGCACGACGACCCCAAGTTACAGAAGCCCTCGGACGACCAGTTTCTCGGCTGCCTCCCAGCGAACCTTCAAGTAGACTTGATCTGCTTTCACAAGCTTGCGCCCGATTACATCTATCCTTCTTCCCAAGTGCAGGGTACCAAACAGAGCGTGCGTTCAGGTTCTGGCTAACCGCCGTGCCTTCTATTGTTTCTCTCTCCCTCTTATCTAGCCGGGACATGACGATCGACATCAGCACACATTATATGTTTTCACTACAGAGCGAAGACCAAATGATATGATAAATGTCCACATAGATTGATAGAAGATTGTTCATGAAGATCAGAGAGGAAAACGCCGTTAGACTTGGAATCATTCATTTCTTAGGTCGGACAGCAGGGGGGGGTCTTCCACTACGAGTCCTGTTTAACATTTTATCTGCTTAAATATGCTGTAAACAACAAAGAAAGTGAGGCCAAATCTACAGAAGCGCTCGCGCTGTTCCCCGCGATTCACTGAGGAAGTTTCTTCACTCTGCAGATGTTGGATATTTATTTAAAGGGGCCCTGAAACACTTTTTTGAGTAACCATGGAATTAATTCACTGGAAAAGCGTGTTACCTCACAAATTCAACGACGCAAAAATTTTAAAAATACGTCTAGTACGAGCGGAGTTACAAAGATTTGTCACACGCTGCAATTACATTCTCTCTTCTCTCGTCCCGACGAAAGCATTCGAAGCTATAGAAATAGAGCAGGGAGGGACGGGAGGGGCAAACAGAAAACGTCACTCGCGCCTCCTGACCTTCAGCACCTTTTTTTTTTTTTCTTTGAATACGCGGCTTTTTCAGTGCGATCGCGCGCGCACGCGTAGACAAGTGACGGCCTCTCGCGGCGACCTTTGTAACAACCGAACGCGCCATGTTCAAATCAGCCAATGGCTGATAGATGGGTTTACTACGAAATATTTTTTGGGCTTATTCAGTGGTTTGTTGAGAGGAGACAATGCTTTTTTTTTAGCTGACTTTGATAATATATTGTGAATTCCAGGCCGCGTGCTGCACTGTGCTCGCGTGTTGTCAGTAGCCTCTACTACCGATCGGCATCGTTTACTGACCATGCTCAAAAAGTGTAGCAGGACCCCTTTAGGTTTTGCGCGGGAAATTTCATTCCAAACCATAAAAATTATTTTGAAGCAATAAACGAACAAATATGAAATGAAGGGTTGATTCGCCTATTTGTTCCGATTGCATTGAACATTGAGCCTACATTGAACAGAATCATTTTACGCCGCAGAAGGTTGCAAGCTGGTCAGTAGGCAAGCTCGACTACACACAGCAGAGACATATTCTGCTTAATACTCCCTACGCACGCATTTGATAAGCTTCGGCAGCACCCGAGAAAGGTCAGGGATGTTAATCAAGCACAACCTCGGCTGGCGACCCTACACGAGGGAAAATATTACGTAAATGCTCGTGAATTCCGGACGACCTGAAGTAACACAACGGAACTATCGTGGTATTTTGTACATACGAAGCTAACTGTAGGTAGTAGATGCATCAACAAAACTTAAAAAAAAAAACCCTGAAGATAGTACATGACTCAAGAAAACTTAATCTGAATCGTCAAACCTGGACACATTTTGGCACAAAACGCACGCAACAGGCGTGTAATATACAATGTTTCAGCATCATGATAATGATATAATTAGGATGACATTGACCACGAAAAAAAAAGGGGGCAGGGGGTACGAAAAACGACGTTTAGGCTCCCTTCCCTTCAGCATTTGTTCTCAACGAAAGCGAAGACGAGCACACTTGAACCTAGTGATAACGATCCAGGACATAACAAAATATCGGGTATAACAAAATAAACAACAAAAAAAAGACTTGAAACAAATGGTGTTAGTAATATACTTTCAAAACGAATTTTCGCATACAACTCACCTAACTTATTTTCGTGTAAGATGCAAGTGTCTTATATTGAAGTATGAGTGTGTTTACGGACTCTTAAAATATATATGTAACGCAAGCATATGGCTCAAATAAGAGGGACGGTTCATTCTGGCGCAAGACTGACGTCAGCTGCAGGCTCACATGCGAGAATTGTCCACCTCAAACAACATTTGAAGTTTTGTGTGTGTGTCACACACACAAAAATGTGCGGCATGCTGAAATGTGTGGCGTGCTGAGTATGTAACCACCACCACCCCTTCAGGGTCTCTCTCTTTTTGTGGAAGAGAGGGGGCCTCATTGTCCAACAGTAACACAACACCCACGTAGAAGCACGCAAAATGATGGCGCTCACGCCATAATGTGCCCGGTGTTTTCCGACAACTTTCGAGACTAAAGTCACGTGCGACGCACGCAACCAGTGAGAAACGAAACCGAAACCGGTTAACACGCTCCTAAGGTACGATAAACTAGAGATACCCGCACGGGCACTGACCGTCATCATGTGTTTATACCAGGTCTATCGTTTTCATTTAACGCAGAAAAACAGCGAGAAAATGTCTACACCTTTGAAGAGAAGCTCATCGGAAAAAGTGTGCAGGGGTAACGGTCTTCTGTTCATCTGTGGTATCCATGCCGCCGAAAACAAAACAGTTATGTTTTCACAGTTCCCAAATAATTTATGTCTGCGATTATTAGGAATAGTAATAGTAGTAGCCGAAGTAGTAGTAGACAAAAGAAGGGAAATATCCAATTTCTCGCTGAGCTTCGAGTTAAAGTGCAATATGCAACCAGCACTCTATATATACCCTTCGGCTGTTTCTTGAACATCACAGCCCTTCAGGGGACCTCCTTCGACTCCTCGTAGAATTCTAAGCGAAGAGAGCTTTCGTAAAGCGAGGACTTTTCCGAAACGCTTCTAAACACATGGGACTCGTCGAGTGGCGCTGCAATCGCTGCAACTCGGCCATGACCGACCCGCATACTTCGGGCGTATCCACGTCAATGCGTTTGAACCATCCGCATGCTGCCGTTAGTAACGCAAGACAAGTAGGATAACAAAGGAATATCGAGGCAAATCCCGAATACGCGAAAATCTTACATCCGCGCTTCTCGTATTCATGAGCGCCTTTTAAGCGGACAAGGTCGGCGCAAACGCAAGACTGAAAACAAGGCGGAATAATGAATACTTCACACGAACTGAATCAACAAACTGCCACGCGTACACATCCTTAGTGACAAAAAACAAACGGCTGGTAGTTAATTTGACCGAACTAACGATTAACACAGTCCAGTAGCAACCAACGAAAATCCATCAGAGCCGTTCAACCACGATAGACCACTAAATTAACCATTCGCTTATCAGAGCAAGAAATAATCAGGACACAGGGGAGCTCCTAAACTCGGTAAAAAAAAACAAAAACAACGAAACAAACTGACCTGTAAAACAGAGCAGAATCGATAAGAGAGACACCGAGCACGCTTTCTGGTTATGAAATAGGCAGAAACGAAAGCAAATACAACAACTCACCAGTTGGCCCCTGCGAACGAACCCATCGCCGTAGGGACGGCTACGCGCGAACGCCGTCGCAGAGGACGGAGGAACGCCGCCTATTCCGGGCAGCACGGAGAAGGGTAGGACGCGCCGGTACTCCAGACAGGACATCAAAACGGCCGGAAGAAACGCGCTAAACAAACTAGAGAAAATCGCAACAGAGTTCACACTCCAGCGGTGTAGTTACGAGGGATAAAAAGCAAAAAAAAAAAATAAGATCCTCGCTGCACAAACAACGCGGCGACGCAAAGGGCCGCCGTCCTCGAGCAAAGATCGGGCGCGCCGCACCGCCGCCGTCGACGAGGCCCCGCACACAGCACCGCGGCAGCACGGACAGCGCCGGAAGGGCGCCGCCATCACAATCGCGAGTGGAGAGAGCAGCCAGAGGGCGGCGCTGGAGTCGAGGCATTTTCCGCCTACCCTCGCCCTCTGCCGCTTCCAGATGGCGCTGGGCAAGCAGCAGATTCAGCGACCTGAAAGTACGCCCGCTCCCTCTACGTCCAACCCGAGCGAGAACTGCTCCAACCCGTCGAAAAGGAAATCGCAGAGGAGGAAAATTGGGAGGAGGAAAATAGAAATAAACTCAATAAACAAAATGGGGAGAGAAATAAACGAAGGGAGAGTTGCGTATTAAAATAGGGGTATAAATTCCCTTGGGTTAATGCGGAATATTCGCCCGTGGATCAGACTTGGCACAAGCTCGGCGAATAGAGCGAAGTTCGATGCAGAAACACGACGATCCATACCGACAGCGCGGAGTTGAATGAGGAGCGAAGCAAGCAAAACAGCACACGCGTCGCTTTCTTATAAATATGCTATAAAACTTTCTCGAGCACCGCAGCAAACTATGCTACGCTTCCACGACAGAAAAGGACCACCGACGAAAGGGAATACGGGAAAAAGGACAGCAGCAGACGTCCAAGCAAGCGAGAGAAAAAAAAAGCAAATAACTCGCTAGACAAAAGGCACGGCGCATCAGCGAAGGAGCACACGTACGTTGGGGCGACGGCGCCACGTGCCGCCGAAGTCCAGTTCGACCCGACGTCGCGCCGTCTCGTACATGACGCGTGGTCGTCGTCGTCGGCTGCCGTCTCACGGCGGTCTCCTTCCCGGGCAGCGAGCACGTTCGGCGGCCATGTTTGGCGGGGGTTCCTCGGTGTCGGCGTTTCGCCGGCGGCTTGCTGGCAGCAGCGCCGGCGAGGCCAGGCAGGCAGGCAGCCCCTCCGCGCTCTTTCGTCGTCGCTAGCGCGCGCTCTCGCTCGCTGCCGGCGGCTGGCTGGCCTGCTCGGGCGAAATGTGTGCGCGTTGCCGGCGCGCCAGGCAGCTCCCCTCGTTGCTGCGGCGGTCGCTGCTGCCGCTTGCGCCGCGCTTCTCTCCCGTTCGTTCGTTCGCTGGCGAGCTTTTTTTCCCCGTCGAGGGAGGAACACGCTCGCGGTTGGTTCGCGACGTCGACGAGCAGGCCCTCGTGCCCGCAACCCAGTCGTCCCTTTCTTTTCGCTTCCATCGCTCGCTCTCACAACAATGCACTACCACTACACAGTCCCCGCGCGCTGCTGTCTCTCCAAACTAGGGACGGAAAAGTGTAACCAACTTACACAGCGAATGCTGGATAACGAGAAAAAATTTTTCAAGCACGTGAAGAAACCTCCACCTACAACGGATGCAAAGTGTTCGACTGGAAAAAAACATCCTCCAAGCGCACTCGAAGCACGTGCGCCAGGGAAGGGCGTTCGTTCACCTTCGAAGGGGGACGCCCGTCAAATGCCGTCTAGCGCGCAACGGTAGCGAGAATGAAGAAAATAAAGCAAAACAGAAGTGAGGGGGGAAGTCCGCACGGTCGGGGGATCATAAAGAGACAATGAGCGCGAAAGTTGATCGCCTGCCAGCACGCACCGTCACGCCGCACTGAGGAGAGACGCGCGCCGCCGCACCGTATACTACTAACTAATCACATACAAAAAAAAAAACACGAAAGAGACAGCACGACTGAACCACCACCACCGGCAGGCGCGCGCGATGAATGAAAAGGAAAGAGTAGCGACCCCCCCCCCCCCCCACGCGCGCCTTTCGTCCTCCTCTATCACGTATTTATATCGCGACGAGTGCACTAGAGCGAAAGCAAACACACACACTGGCGGCGAAGAGGGCATTAAAAGGCGCCGAAAGACGGAAGTAAGAGAAAAGACGAGCGCTCACCGGTCGCTCCAATTACAAAAGGAGAGAGGTGGCCACGTTTACTCACCTACCCCGCGCACACACCACCGGGCGGAATCCGCGACGGACGGCGATACGAGACAAGGTACTACCGCACATACACGCACGCACAGAGAAAGCGAGAAAAGTGAAAGCGAACGAAGCAAGCCGCCACATGAAAAATGATCGCGCCGTGCGATCTACCGAAGTGCCGCTGCTGCTGCTCCCTCCCAAAATCAAAACAAGGACGCAGCGAAAACCACGTGCGAACGAAACGAGATCAAACCAAAACAATACGCCCGTGCACGACCGTTTTGTTCGAGAGAAGATAAATAGTTAGAAAGGGATGAATGAAAGGCATTGTAGAAGCGAAGGCGACGACGACGGACGTGAATGCTAAAGATGGAACAACAACAAGGTCGACCGATTAAATGAAAATCGCACAGAAGGGGGAATCAATAGGAACACAAAGAAACTATAAAGTACTGGCGGCGTACAACGCGAAAAGATCTAACAGAAAACGGAGGAGGCAATAAAACGTGCCCGCCTGCTCCGCCGACCCAGCAAAGACGAGACACGGCTCGCGAAGAAATCTGAAACATACAAGAACGAAACGAAAGAAAGACTTGGAAAGATGTAAAAGAGACGTGCTTTTCTATTTCTTTTTGTAGAGGTCCAGGGAAATGAAACTAACGTACGCACGCGCGAAAGAACAAGCGATTCAAAATGGTTCCCACGTGAAAGAAAAACAGAAAGGGAACAGAAGGCGCGAGTGGGACGACAGGGATGAAGACGCGACGAGAGGCGGTCACTTCAAACAACAAGATGCAAACGCATGAACAAACACAAAGACTAGTGCCATCGGTAGCCGCGGCGATAAACAACTTGCCGTCCACAAAAAACGTAGCAAGGCGTTGGCTATTTCCAGTCTCAACGTGTGTGTGCGCGCGTCTTTCTATCCAACGCTGCAAATAATAATAATAATAGTACAAAAAGATTGCGCGGTTTCGCGACACGGGCGCTCCCTTCTCCTCCGTAGTAGTAAAAACGGAGTAACGCACAAGCAGCGGTCGTCGCGTAGACGTCATTCATTCATTTCCAGGGAGGTTTCCTGCGAAGCACAGGGGGAAAGAAGGGGGGTGAGAAAGACGTGAGACGACCGCTTAGGGGAGGGGGGGGGCATACAAACTAACGCACACGCCATCACGAGCGGCGCCGCGGCACGATCGTTATCGCCGGTCTCTTCCGCAATATCAAATACACGTACACGCGCCTTTTTTTTTTGCCGTTCATTATTTCCTCAGCCCCCCCGCCCTCTCCTCTCCCCGTAAGCACAGGGCGCCACCACTTTTCTTCCGGAAGCTTTCGAAAGTAATGCCCTGTCTCCGCAACGCGAACACCACGGACGGAGCTCGTTCATTCCGTCTATTGATCAAGGGCAATTTATAAAGGGCACAGGCGTCGAGAAAAAAATCGGCATTCACGTACTTTGCTAGCACGAGCTACGGCGGGGCGCCCCATTGCGAAACTATTCCTACTATGCATGCCGCTCGGCGAGGGAATCAATAATAATCGTTCGAGCAGCTTAAGTCATTCAGTCGATACAATCATGCCAGTACTTCCGCGGCGAACGCTGCTTACTGCCGCGACATCATGCAGAGTATATATGGCAGAACCCACCTGTTTCATCGCAAAACTCAACACAACCGTACGCGCCTAGTAAGTTTGAAGAGGTTTTTTGTAAGAAAACGCATTGCATAAGCATTGTTTCCTTAATCTGGCTCTCTCCCCGGCAGCCAGCGTGTGCGTGTGTGTTTTCGTTAAAACTAGCGCAACGGCTCGACGATGCCGCACAGCGCGCCCGAAAAACAGCCTCAGCCTCCACACAATCTTTCAGCTCCACGAGTTATTAGTGCGCGCCAGTTAATTGGCTTATACAAAACGTGCGCGGCACGCCATCGGGCCTTTTCAACGACGACGAAGCCAGTCAGTGCGGCGGTGCTTCTTCGATTGCAGCGGCGGCCAGTGGCGTGACTATCGCCGCCAAATTAACTCTCCGTCTACGTAGTACCTTTGCACTCAACTGGAAAACGATTTCCATGAAAAGGTACGAGACACGCAAGTCAGACACGTCGTATCTTCAATATGTGCGTATGAATGGGCATTCGATTTCTGTTCGCAGCTGGCTGCTCCTTCTCTCTCAGAGACAAATCAATGGAAGGCCACAACGAGTACTGCTACATAGCGGAAAGTTCATTAAGTGGGAGGTGTCGCACCCGATTCATCGCAGTTTCGAAAAACAGCATAGTTGTAGAATCGGGAGAAGCACGTGAAATTGTAAACACAAAAGTACATCTTAAGCTTTGTGTGTGTGTGTGTGTGTGTGTGTGTGTGTGTGTGTGTGTGTGTGTGTGTGTGTGTGTGTGTGTGATCCGTGAAAAAAAAAATCAACTGCTTGCGAGCTGAAATGGGACAAGGATACACAGGTGCTGGTCGTAAATTCGTCGCAAAATATCTCGACACATTGCGTTCAAAACCGAAAAATGGTGCACATCCTACAAGCGCCATGGGAATAAATGTGAGCGCAACCAACAGCGTTTACATAATACCATCGGACGCCATAAATATGGGTAATCACGCGCACGCAATCATCTTAAAGGGATACCCAGGTCGCTGTTGAAGCAGACAAGCTGTGCGAGCGCCACTGAGTTTCAATCGTTAACGACGTCAGTTCAAACGTTGACGGTCACAAAATTTCAAGTTTCCCGCTGGGCCGGGATGGTGAAAGAATTACGGTGGGACAGGGGTGGAGGGCGGCACTTGGAGCAAAATGTCAGCCAACGTTGCCACTTGAAAGGTTAGATGTTGACAAACAAATCGATACTACTATCGCAACGATGAATGAAATGTGGACGTCGGTTCTGAAACAGGGAGTTTTTGTTGCACGATCATGTTGTTTTGACACGTGGTGACTGCATAAGGTGCTTCACGAAAAAAGAAAAAAAAAGGGCGTGGGCTAGCTCTGATTTTTTATTAAGAAAATAAATATAACACACACACACACAGAGATAGGGAGAGAGAGAGAGAGATGACTAAAACAGTTAAGTGAGGGCCTGGGACGGCAGCAAAAGGCAGCACGCCGCGTCGTATAGACTCCTGCTTCATTTGAACCTTCCGCCTATGACGAAAGTGTCCGCCGACGAAATTCTGACAAAGAAAAACTTCGTCTTGGGACCTACATGTACTGACACCACCATTACGTTTCGCCCTCGGTTACATCACCGGAGCTCGGTCCTGCCAACCACTCGCGTCCACAAAGCCTACAACAAGCCGTCCTTCCCAAAAGACGAATCCTGCCCACCACCCGCGGCGCTTCGCGACGGCAGGTGATTCCGTCTCAACGCTACCGAGTGGTATTAAAGGCAGGTGGTAAAGGTACGCCAGTCAAGCAAGCGATGAGGCTAGGCCGCAGATGTTCTCACTTGCAGCATCCAGACGCTACAGACCCTAAATTCGGTCTCTCGTGTGTCGTCGAAAGGATAGACGACGCGTCAAACGAAGAAAGCCTCGCGAAGACCATCTTTCTGAACCCTGCGTTTCCCTTTGTCGAGGCGTCAACAACAGAGAGAGAGCCACAGCAGCGCTAGCAGCAGATTCCACTGGTGCACACAACTCGCAGCGACAGGACGCCTCGAAATCTCAACACACTACTACTACAGTCGTGGTTTGCAAACACATGCACGCGACAATATTTCATTTTTCTCCAGAAACTCAGTACAGCCGAGTTATTACGCATGAGCCACGGGTAATAAATCTGAGGGCAAAAATAAATTTCCCTAACTCAATGTGGCCTACTTGAACGCAAATTAATATTGACGAAAGAGGTTTGACGACACGGGCGTATCCTTAGCACCATCTTATGCCACATACATGGTCCTCGTTTGGGAGTGATTCTTCTCGTGAGATCGAGCGCTGTTCGGCGAACTCTCCCCCCCCCCTTCCCCCCCGCTCCCAGCGCCCCCTTCCACGCAGAAGGCGGCACCATGCAGTTCTGGGGAAAACGTCTCCTCCGTTGAGCAGCGGAAACTGGTCTCAGAAAAAGGACCGAAAACGTTATT